TTTAATTACTTGGCTTAACTGTTTCTGATTCTAAATATTCGTTTGTAACAGTGTTCCTACTATCTGCAATATAGCACTTGGAGACCTTCTCTTCTGTTCAACTGGTTGAGCGTAAGAATACTAACCCGAGTTATAACACCAGTAGAGACATTGAAATAACAATAAACTCTTTACATATAAGAATGCCTAATGTCTGCTTTTCTATAATCTGCAAATTGCCATTTTCAAAAATTTGATAAATATATTTTCCATAAGATAAGTATATGTTAGACAGGTTTTTGTCAAATATCACACGTATATGTAATTAATAGGTAGAAGTGGATATGTTTACATGATTGCTATTTGAAATGAAAATCGCTGTGATACAAAATCCGTGTGTTTTATCTTAGCTTCACTTCCCGTCGATCACATCAGAATTGGTGAGTTCCTCTGCAAAGACAACATCAACAATGGGAAATCATACCATCACTATAGCTTATATACAATGTTTCAATGGTCGTCATAGTGATCTCATTGAGAACCATTATATTTCTTTGTGCGAAGCTGAACGCATTTGATGCTTGTTAACGTTTGCCTGTTGGTTCCGTTGTTGTATACCTTGTTCTCATTTGAGAACGTGACATAACTTACTTGAATTGATCAAGGGTGACATTGCGGGTGTTTTCCATCAAATAGAAGACCCTTACTTTTCCAGAACATATGGTTTTATTGTTCATGTACTTTTTCAGGAGCTCCGTGTAAATCTTTGTTTTCTTCATATTTCCTCTTGTTTTATGGACATTGAGTTTAAATTATGATTATTTTCACATGTTGGTATTTTCTTGATGTTTGTATCAACAAATTTCTGATATTTTCATAAAATTTAATGGTTTGGGTTGCCATGGCAAAACAGCTCGACATTTCGCTTTTGATAGATTTCATGTATATATTCTCTTCGTACAACATTCGTCTTTTCTACGATGTTCTGTGTTACTTACATATTTACAGATAATTTCATTGTATTTAACGTGAAATTAAAGGTGTAGCACTCTCCACAGTATTGTATTATTGATGGTTGTAAATTGTTGTAAAACAATCGGACTTGCGGAAAAGTCAAAGAAATTTGAATTTACACGTTGTGTTTTTATATCTTTATCTTATTTACGTAACGATCTCTAAATAGCAATGGATTCATTGTGACGAATGTAGAGTAGCTAGAAATACTGATACATTTTTGGAGATGCTGCGAGGAAGTCATAATTCATCATGTTTACCAAAAGTTAAAACTTCAAAAAATGTTAACGATTGTATTTTAAAAAAAGGTAAACCCTTATTGTGGTTATGTTACTTTCGCCAATTCGTTATGGACTTCCTGTTAGCTCTTGTTCTTGACCTGTTTTGCATGAGGTCTATTTTTTCCTCAAAAATAATGTTTAAAAATTGATTTTTTTACTTAAATTCCGCTTGTCTTTGGAAAGTGTTCAATTCATTCCATTATGCAATAAGATGTGTTGGATGTTGGGTAATATATGTCATAGTTAAGTTGTGTGATATGAAATATGAAGTTGGATGTGTGGGATGTTTGTTAGTATGTCTGATGGTTACGTTGTGTGATATCAAGTTAGATGTGTGTGATGTTTGTTAGTATGTCTGATGGTTACGTTGTGTGATATAAAGTTAGATGTGTGTGATGTTTGTTAGTATGTCTGATGGTTACGTTGTGTGATATAAAGTTAGATGTGTGGGATGTTTGTTAGTATGTCTGATGGTTACGCTGTGTGATATAAAGTTAGATGTGTTGGATGTTAGTATGTCTGATGGTTACGTTGTGTGATATAAAGTTAGATATGTGGGATGTTAGTATGTCTGATGGTTATGTTGTGTGATATAAAGTTAGATGTGTGTGATGTTTGTTAGTATGTCTGATGGTTACGTTGTGTGATATAAAGTTAGATGTGTGGGATGTTTGTTAGTATGTCTGATGGTTACGCTGTGTGATATAAAGTTAGATGTGTGGGATGTTTGTTAGTATGTCTGATGGTTACGCTGTGTGATATAAAGTTAGATGTGTTGGATGTTTGTTAGTATGTCTGATGGTTATGTTGTGTGATATAAAGTTAGATGTGTGGGATGTTTGTTAGTATGTCTGATGGTTACGTTGTGTGATATAAAGTTAGATGTGTGGGATGTTTGTTAGTATGTCTGATGGTTATGTTGTGTGATATAAAGTTAGATGTGTGGGATGTTTGTTAGTATGTCTGATGGTTATGTTGTGTGATATAAAGTTAGATGTGTGGGATGTTTGTTAGTATGTCTGATGGTTATGTTGTGTGATATAAAGTTAGATGTGTGGGATGTTTGTTAGTATGTCTGATGGTTACGTTGTGTGATATAAAGTTAGATGTGTGGGATGTTTGTTAGTATGTCTGATGGTTATGTTGTGTGATATAAAGTTAGATGTGTGGGATGTTTGTTAGTATGTCTGATGGTTACGTTGTGTGATATAAAGTTAGATGTGTGGGATGTTTGTTACTATGTCTGATGGTTACGTTGTGTGATATAAAGTTAGATGTGTTGGATGTTAGTATGTCTGATGGTTATGTTGTGTGATATAAAGTTAGATGTGTGGGATGTTTGTTAGTATGTCTGATGGTTACGTTGTGTGATATAAAGTTAGATGTGTGGGATGTTTGTTAGTATGCCTGATGGTTATGTTGTGTGATATAAAGTTAGATGTGTTGGATGTTTGTTAGTATGTCTGATGGTTATGTTGTGTGATATAAAGTTAGATGTGTGGGATGTTTGTTAGTATGTCTGATGGTTACGTTGTGTGATATAAAGTTAGATGTGTGGGATGTTTGTTAGTATGTCTGATGGTTATGTTGTGTGATATAAAGTTAGATGTGTGGGATGTTTGTTAGTATGTCTGATGGTTATGTTGTGTGATATAAAGTTAGATGTGTGGGATGTTTGTTAGTATGTCTGATGGTTATGTTGTGTGATATAAAGTTAGATGTGTGGGATGTTTGTTAGTATGTCTGATGGTTATGTTGTGTGATATAAAGTTAGATGTGTGGGATGTTTGTTAGTATGTCTGATGGTTACGTTGTGTGATATAAAGTTAGATGTGTGTGATGTTTGTTAGTATGCCTGATGGTTATGTTGTGTGATATAAAGTTAGATGTGTTGGATGTTTGTTAGTATGTCTGATGGTTATGTTGTGTGATATAAAGTTAGATGTGTGGGATGTTTGTTAGTATGTCTGATGGTTACGTTGTGTGATATAAAGTTAGATGTGTGGGATGTTTGTTAGTATGTCTGATGGTTATGTTGTGTGATATAAAGTTAGATATGTGGGATGTTAGTATGTCTGATGGTTACGTTGTGTGATATAAAGTTAGATGTGTGGGATGTTTGTTAGTATGTCTGATGGTTACGTTGTGTGTAGAAAGTTAGATGTGTGGGATGTTTGTTACTATGTCTGATGGTTACGCTGTGTGATATAAAGTTAGATGTGTGGGATGTTTGTTAGTATGTCTGATGGTTATGTTGTGTGATATAAAGTTAGATGTGTGGGATGTTTGTTAGTATGTCTGATGGTTACACTGTGTGATATAAAGTTAGATGTGTGGGATGTTTGTTAGTATGTCTGATGGTTACGTTGTGTGATATAAAGTTAGATGTGTGGGATGTTAGTATGTCTGATGGTTACGCTGTGTGATATAAAGTTAGATGTGTGGGATGTTAGTGTGTCTGATGGCTACACTTTGTGATATAAAGTTAGATGTGTGGGATGTTAGTATGTCTGATGGTTATGTTGTGTGATATAAAGTTAGATGTGTGGGATGTTAGTATGTCTGATGGTTACGTTGTGTGATATAAAGTTAGATGTGTTGGATGTTAGTATGTCTGATGGTTATGTTGTGTGATATAAAGTTAGATGTGTGGGATGTTTGTTTGTATGTCTGATGGCTACACTGCGAGTACACTAGTGTTTCTTCTCCATTGATAACGTACCTTTATATGTAGCGAGTGTTGTTGATGAAGTATAAAATGTTGACACTTCCGGAATATCTCGTATTCTCCTCTTTGTACATTTTAATGTCGATCAATGTATTTTTGTTTTGTTTATAAATAAATGTACGTTTTCAGTTTCAACGATTTTGGAATTTGACTCAGTTTAGATGGCGAAGTTCGCTTTTTTTCACATTGAACATAGACCTGCGCATTAACAGCAAATCAATCCCTCATCTATTTTTTTTTTATTTATTTAATTTTGGTTTGTAAGCTCAACTGGTCCGAATGAACGTTGAGCTTATGTTATAGCGAGGCGTCCATCGTCCGTGCAGAGTCCATCCGTCGGTCCGTCAACTTGTTTTGTATACCATCCTATTAGTCATGAATGAATAATGATATTCCCAAGTTTGCTTTGAAGCAAGTTTAGATGAATGGAAGACAGATTTGTATAAATGGTGGATCTTGAGGACCTGGACCAGGAAGAGAGGGGCTCAACAGGGGAAATGAATTATATTTTTGAAACAGTTGAGATCCCCACCCATAAACTATATATAGCGTTGCTAGGCATTTCCATATATAAATTTTGCCATTGATCTTGCCCAGCCAGAGAGTTTTAGTGACTGTGCTGTGATTTGGAAATACCTATCATATAGCCATACATAGCATTGCTAGACTTTAAGATCGAGGGAAGCGATACAGGCCCTATTGACCCGTTCTTACTGGGAACTCAAGCAATGTTTGTGTCCGACGAGGACCGAGAGGTGTGTATGGGTATTAGGCTGAATACGAAGATAGTCTTAGTAAAGAAGCAAACCCGTCATATCAACCTCACAAAACAATAAACAAAAAAAACAAATAAAATACAAAAAAAATCAGTACAAAACGCTCTACGAAGCACACATCAGTCAGAGTTACAACACACAAGCCCATCCATCTCCTATCTCCGACTCCTACTCGTTGTAATAACAACAATGTGTTTTATCAATTTATAAAACAGTGTTTAATAAAACTATTGATTGTACACACATATATTAACATATCAGGGTATGGTATGATCTCATTTATCCAGTTAACATTTTCAGAACTTAGCAGCACATTCCACTAATACAAATATACTCAAATGAAATATATTGACATAACTATGATTTGTTTACACAAATACTCTCTACATATATATATATATATGTGATACTATAAAATCGATTCAATTTACGTATGATAATTAATGAATAATTTGAAAAATGCAAGAATGTTGGTTGTCTAGTACTTCTGCTGTTGACAGTTCGTAAATTATAAATTTATTCTCAAATCGTCTCTCTTAAAAAACAAATTTTTCATTTGGCATGAAATTCACAAGGTCCATTTCTGTATATATCGCAGTTTTTATGATTAGAAGATACACTCAAGAAAATAGCACAATTCTAAAGAGATTTAGAAATAGATTCAGTATAATTAGACAATGAAGTATTGTACAGCATGCTGCTGTTTACTCTAGCTAAATCCTTGGTCATATACACCCATTAACTAGCCTGTATTAACGTACTCAGAACTAACATTGAATGTATCATTACTGACATTTATGTACTTACTCTCGTAATTTGTACAGCTTTACTCTTCAGAATTACTGGTAAAATAGTACCTCCCGCCACCATATCCATAGCTGTTAATTCTTTTAACGAAGTTCCGAATACTTTAAAGTAGTTTATTAGAGTTTATCTTTTTAATATTTTATCAATTCGTCATTTTGCCTTAATTTACCGATTTTTACTGTACTTTAACGACAAATTAAAAACAGGAGCGTATCAATGGAAGATATTTTACGTCTTGTCCACAAATTACTATATTCCATAACATACTTTACGTTTTACGAAATTAATAAGATTAATAAAGATTACCATTTTATGTTCAATGTTTATCTACCTGAATGTAGTATAATATATATATATACCTATATTATCAATATTTTTTCTATATCAGTTAACAAACCTACTCCAGCTAATAAGATTTGCCTGTCACCATCCACATACGTTTTGGCATAACATGTATCCATCTAATGTAAAAATACAAAGAAGTGTTAAGATAATGAGAAGTCAGTTCCAAACATCAAAACGAAACAAAGCAGAAGTACTGAACATGTCTCGTCACCGATTACTGCAGCGATGTATAAACAGGGTGAATAACGCTGTTTCTTTAGGTTTTACAAGTGGCGTGTAATTGCGTGCGCGTGAGTGTACAGGGGTGTGAAAGGCGGGGCTACCAAGCTGTGAACGTATAGGGATGCTGGGACGGACTGACATCTGTGTCAGGACGCACGATCGTATGGTATTGAGGGCAAAATGTGTGCCAGTGGGCCTACAGGTATGCTGGGACGGACGGGTACGTCTGTGTCAGGACGCACGTTCGTATGGTGGTGAGGGCAAAATGTGTGCCATTACAGGTATGCTGGGACCTACGGGTACATCTGTGTCAGAACGCACGACATTATGGTCGTGAGGGCAAAAGGTGGGGACGTTTATGTACACGTGATCTGACTGGTTCGTATAGAACAGTCCACTGAAATTACCAACTAAGCTCTGAGGAGTTGTCTCCCATGTATATACCTTGTAGAAGCCTGATGTTAGGATTTTTTTTACACTTTTGTACAATCTTTGATAAGGTACATGTGTGTCTTTTTTATATACATTATTTAAATTAATAAGTCAATTTAATTGTTGATTTCTTGATGCAGTCATTAAATCGGGAATATTGCGCAAAACGGTTTACATGTATGTCCGTTTCTGGTATACATATGAGGGAGAGTTACCTCGCATTTACCACTAACCCACTCGTTCTGTACGAAATCGGGAGGAATAAAGTGATGTATTCAGACACTTTGTATTGTATGTCCTTTGTTTATTCTTTATTTCTGTTTTATATAGTATGAAGTATGTTTACTGTATCTAAAGCCTTCATGCAAACGTTTCGTTTTGACACTTGGAACTTACTTGAGTCATAATTCGATGATTCGATGTTGTGATGTCAAAAAACCACGTAAATCACACCAACCCAGGCAACCTTTAGAAAACACTTACAACATCTGTCTACTCGTTTTCCATTAAGTGACTGAAACGAAAACGATAAGATAGATGCAGAAAGGCTTTTTATGAACCTTGGAATAATTGCACAGTACACAAATCATACGGTTCTTTCTGTGTGTCAAATATTTGGTTTAACAATATTTTATTTTCAGATTTTCATTTACAACATACACATACACAAATTATGAAATTGAAAATGGATCTGGCAACAAGATTATAAATCTTATATTAAGCCATCTCCAAAAATGGAGAATATTTTAATGGTAAAATATTTTATATTGATATTACAGTCTCTGAGTATTTTATACCAGATGATCCACAAGCATCATTTATTAAATAGTTTCATAAAAATTCTTTGCCGAAGAAATTCTCAATATATGGTTAAAAAAACCAGCCTAGGCATCTCTCTGTCTACAAGATATTACAGGCTGATCTTAATATACCCAGTCTTCATTCCCTAAAAGTTGCCAAAATCATTTAATTATTGAAAAAAGGAAACCGATTCCTAATCTATGTCTTGTATACAGTATTTGTCATTCACAAATAGCTTTCTTTTTGTTATTTGCGGACATATATGCTTACTGAATCATATTTGCATAATTAAACTTTAAGTAAAAGACGGTATTACATGATCTAAGTAATTTGATTTAATCCAGAATTTATGAAAATAAGATGATGCACATTATGTGTTAATTGTAAAAGCTATTTGTAAATACACCTTGAGATTTGAAGTGACGTATATATAGTAAGGAGGTTTGTAAGAATTTCTAACATATGATTCATACAGAATAGGATAAATGAAAATCTCCTGTGTATTGCAGACTCGGTACAATTACACAAATCTATGGACGTGACTGTATTGTTGTCTTTAAACGTAGTAAACATCAGTTCTGATATATATATATATATATGGCCGAACGATAAAAAACTTATTATGCATAAAGTATATTATTCAACTGAAAGTATAAAAAAAAAATAAAAATCAGTTACGAATACTTTCAGTTAAGTTCTTAGCTTCCATCAGACAGTGATGTGCACATTGAAAAACAATGATATATTTTATAAATAAATAACCATTTTATCATGGTGTTGTTTATTGTTGGTTAATCAGGTTAAGTCTATCATATCCGGAAATCTTTTATGTAAACTTGGTGATATTTATCGTACTGACCTACGTTATAAAACCCAAATAACTGGATGATAAAAGTGATAGATATTTCTCTAATTATCGTGATCATACTTAAATGGCTATTTAGTTAACCAGTTATATCACTGTCGTTACAACCAACTGAAACACTGTAGACAGCGCGAACTTTAATAAAATGAAAAATCTCCAGGAAGTGGGAAAAATACAACAAAACAGCACATGGTTTCCTAATACTTTTGTCATGTTAAAAATAACGATTTGGTCAAAAATATATCGTCAACAAAATGGCGGTACCAAACATCAGTAAAAACACGTATCAAAAATAGTGTAAGTAAACAATTACATATCCCTGCATTAGATACAAAACAATGGAATAATATATATGTTATTATGCTTTTGTTCTCAAATGTATAACTATATATAACATGTGTTAACAAACAGAGGAAGGGAGAGCCGCCGTCCTTAGATATGTTAGGGTAGTGGACAGAGGGAGGGGGTCTGTCCCCTAAAGTTGTAAGGACAGTAGATAGAGGGAGGGTGTTTTTCTGTCGTCTAAAGTTGTAAGGACAGTCGATAGTGGGAGGGAGTCTGTCATCTAAAATTGTAAGGACAGTCGATAGAGGGAGGGAGTCTGTCCCCTAAAGTTGTAAGGACAGTCGATAGAGGGAGGGTTTTTTCTGTACCCTAAAGTTGTAAGGACAGTCGATAGATGGAGGGAGTCTGTCCCCAAAGTTGTAAGGACAGTCGATAGAGGGAGGGAGGGGGTATGTCCCCTTAAGCTGTAAGGACAGTCGATAGAGGGAGGGAGTCTGTCATCTAAAATTGTAAGGACAGTCGATAGAGGGAGGGAGTCTGTCCCCAAAGTTGTAAGGACAGTCGGTAGAGGGAGGGTTTTTTCTGTCCCCTAAAGTTGTAAGGACAGTCGATAGAGGGAGGGAGTCTATCTCCTAAAGCTGTAAGGACAGTCGATAGAGGGAGGGTTTTTTCTGTCCCCTAAAGTTGTAAGGACAGTCGATAGAGGGAGGGAGTCTATCTCCTAAAGCTGTAAGGACAGTCGATAGAGGGAGGGAGGGGGTCTGTCCCCTTAAGTTGTAAGGACAGTCGATAGAGGGAGGGTTTTTTCTGTCCCCTAAAGTTGTAAGGACAGTCGATAGAGGGAGGGAGGGGGTCTGTCCCCTTAAGCTGTAAGGACAGTCGATAGAGGGAGGGTTTTTTCTGTCCCCTAAAGTTGTAAGGACAGTCGATAGAGGGAAGGAGTCTATCTCCTAAAGCTGTAAGTACAGTCGATAGAGGGAGGGAGGGGGTCTGTCCCCTTAAGTTGTAAGGACAGTCGATAGAGGGAGGGTTTTTTCTGTCCCCTAAAGTTGTAAGGACAGTCGATAGAGGGAGGGAGTCTATCTCCTAAAGCTGTAAGGACAGTCGATAGAGGGAGGGTTTTTTCTGTCCCCTAAAGTTGTAAGGACAGTCGATAGAGGGAGGAAGTCTATCTCCTAAAGCTGTAAGGACAGTCGATAGAGGGAGGGAGGGGGTCTGTCCCCTTAAGTTGTAAGGACAGTCGATAGAGGGAGGGTTTTTTCTGTCACCTAAAGTTGTAAGGACAGTCGATAGAGGGAGGGAGTCTATCTCCTAAAGCTGTAAGGACAGTCGATAGAGGGAGGGTGTTTTTCTGTCCCCTAAAGTTGTAAGGACAGTCGATAGTGGGAGGGAGTCTGTCCCCTAAAGTTGTAAGGACAGTCGAAAGAGGGAGGGAGGGGGGTCTGTCCCCTTAAGCTGTAAGACCAGTCGATAAAGGGAGGGTTTTTTCTGTCCCCTAAAGTTGTAAGGGCAGTCGATAGAGGGAGTGAGTCTGTCTCCTAAAGCTGTAAGGACAGTCGACAGAGGGAGGGGGTCTGCCCCTTAAGTTGTAAGGACAGTCGATAGAGGGAGGGAGTCTGTCCTCAAAGTTGTAAGGACAGTCGATAGTGGGAGGGTTTTTTCTGTCCCCTAAAGTTGTAAGGACAGTCGATAGAGGGAGTGAGTCTGTCCCCTAAAGTTGTAAGGACAGTCGACAGAGGGAGGGAGTCTGTCTCCTAAAGCTGTAAGGTCAGTCGATAGAGGGAGGGAGGTGGGGGTCTGTCCCCTTAAGCTGTAAGGACAGTCGATAGAGGGAGGGAGGGGGGGGTCTGTCCCCTTAAGCTGTAAGGACAGTCGATAGAGGGAGGGAGGGGGGGTCTGTCCCCTTAAGCTGTAAGGACAGTCGTTAGAGGGAGGGAGGGGGGTCTGTCCCCTTAAGCTGTAAGGACAGTCGATAGAGGGAGGGAGGTGGGAGTCTGTCCCCTTAAGCTGTAAGGACAGTCGATAGAGGGAGGGAGGGGGGTCTGTCCCCTTAAGCTGTAAGGACAGTCGATAGAGGGAGGGAGGGGGGGTCTGTCCCCTTAAGCTGTAAGGACAGTCGGTAGAGGGAGGGAGAGGGGGTCTGTCCCCTTAAGCTGTAAGGACAGTCGATAGAGGTTTTTTCTGTTCTTTATTTAATGTGGCCCTTACATTCTAGTATCTTCCTTGGTGTCTTTAAGTCCGAATTCACCAGAGGAGGGAAAACCTTCCTCGGCAACAATAAAGAAATCTCCATCGTCAAATAAAACGTCTCCTTTAGGGTTGTCCCACACTGGTAGTCTCAGCAAAAGGCCTATTGGTAAACAATAAACATCATCTATATATATACTCTCCTTAAAGTGTAACATGCAATTGTTTTTGTTGCGATCACATATATACTCAGTGTCTACAGTACAAAACATACTTAGATTTATATAAAACATACTTAGATTGATGTATAACATACCTAGATTTATGTACAACATACTTAGATTTGTGTACAACATACTTAGATTTGTATACAACATTTTTGTCATTTTGATCACCATCTTACACACAACAACTTGGGATGGTTTTTTTATCCGTTCTAAAGGGCCTTCGGTGTCCATTGGCCGATACCTAAATTTACACCACCACTCTCGATTTAACTCTATAACTTTTTGTTTTATGTTCTATGTATGTGATGTACTTAGCGTAGTATTTATGTCTTGATAAAGGGGCAGATTGCCTCTAAAATTTAAAAATTCACTTGTCTGTACTGCTGTTATTTCTCCATTGATTATGATTATATCGATAAATTCACTCGGAAACACAACAACTCAGAAGAGATATGACAACATTGTTGATATACTGACACTTGCGTTTAGAAAAGCTATATGAATCAAACTAATTTCTCTGCGAAACATTCTGAACTAAATAAAACATTTTGGAAACATACATGTGCACTGAATAGAATAGAGAATACCAGCAAACAAAAAGGTTCCATGCCAGCTACGTGTTTATCAGCAATGGTATCAGGAAAGTCAGGAAATAAAAGGTGTCTATACATTTTGTATAGACCATAAACATGATCAAACAGCACAATAATCACCATACTGATGTGTCATGCATATTAAACAGCTTCGTAATATCTTACAGGATTCTATATTCTTTTTACGAGGTTTGTATCACATACAGGTGATTTATGATGCTTTTCGCGGTGAAAAGGCATTGTGATACTTACCAGTCAAAGCACCTCCTACAATAGCTATGACTAGTGTCAAACCAAGGGCTGCAAATTGGTATCCCCCCTGCTCGTGAGGGCTTCGTCCTAGCCCCGCACTCCACCCTGACTGTAAGGCGTCATGATACTGTTCATAGTCTGATGTGTTGTACTTCGGGGCGATCCCGGGAAAAACCTCAAACAAACTAAAAATAAACATCAAAACATAATATATATATATACTACTTAAATTGATGATAAAATATTAAACGTCATTGTAAATAATTAATAACGATATTTAGACTCGTAGTTATCTACCCCACGTGACCTACCTTTCTCCCCACTTGTCATAGTTTGCTAACGCAGCAGCGCATGCGCCGGCTATTCCAGCCAGAACTCCTGGCATTCCATGAAGGTTGTGAACACCACACGTGTCGTGGATCTTTAGTTTACTCGCCATAACGGGCTGAAATAAATAAATATTAGGGGATATAAGATTAATTGTAAAGGTGATGAATAAAAACTAGGATTTCAAATAAATTTGTAAAGATCAGTCTATATATCTGGCGAATTATGGAATAAATGAAGTTATTATCTCCATTTCTCCCGTGGTGTTAGATTGAAATAAGAAATCAGAAAACACGACGAAAACATTCTTAAATCTAAACATCTTAGAAAATGTACAATATTTTAAAAAATTTAGAATAAAAAAACAATTTGTTGGCATCCATTTTGGCGTCATTTTCATTTCGTAACGTATCTTCATTGTCTATATAATGAAATCACAATAGATTTTTCACGCGCATAGTTAATGAATACACGCAAATATGACATACTCGAATTCACTGGATTATAGAGAAATTATAAGGAAACTTAAACACACTTTTTCTTTCTTTTTTTTTCATTTGTCTATTTATTTTTGTTAACAAATGGATTTTAATTACAATGTTTGTATGTTTCAAATGTATTGAACAAAGAAATGTAGGTTGTATCAGGGACGTATAATACTGTATTACTGGTTGTATATAACAGTAGGTTTATATTTTGAAGGCGACAAACCCTAAACTCCACTGATCAAACAAACACACATTGTTATTTACATAACAACAACTAACCGTAAGAAATTTGTATCCGAGGACGGAGAGTACTCCCGCCACAGAACCAATCAGCATGGCTCCCCATGGGTCTAGAGGCATGTGGGCGGTCGTTCCTACGGCCACGCCCCCCGCCAATGTAGCGTTCTGGATGTGGACCTGATTAACATATTTTAATAATTGGAATGTCCTTGGTTTTTTAAGTTAAAAGTCGAGACATGCTTTCTGATATACATATACATAATTTATTTTTTATTATTTGGGACTCAAATTATATCCGTACAAATTCTGAGTAGTTCAAAGTTGTGTGATTCCTTTTGATTCGGAAAGTGTTGCATTGATCATTATTATTATCTTTTTTTTTTTTGTTAACATTTTTTGTACCATCCATAATATCTCGGCTGACATGTTCTTTTGTTCAGTGTAAATTGAAAACTTGTTTATTTCTCAGTCAATAGAACATGGTTAACAAAAGTTCTCTGATGTATGTAGTGTGTCGTGTTTTGGCGTGGATTTATAACAACACGTATAAGTGATCGTAAACACATGCCATTATACAACATCTTCTTTCTAATATCAATGTCACGTGACCAATGCTGTGGTGAAAGGTGACGATTTTATGGTAATTTAAGGAGTTTCAGAATGTTTTTCATATGTAAACACCAGTATCAGTAATAACACATTTAATTTGACAAACATATGATAATTAATTCATTGATGACATCATAAACCTTGGTCACGTACACAGTTGATGATATTTACAACATCAATGCGATCTCTACACAAAAATATCAACATTACATGCTGGTAATATGAATAAGGTAATTAAACAGGGACAGTGAACCGCGCGTCCTCCAGGGCCTGTTGTGCTGCTGCTGTATTTTTCTCTACATGATTTACACCATGTAACAGGACCTGTCTGTTTATCATCACGTTGATGGTATTACCCATGTACTGAATCCATACATCTAATTCAATTAGAAACGTTACATAAACTCCGCAATAACCCCTCACCCCACTCTACCAAGGATCTCTCCATCACCTTCAAACCCCATTACCCATAGACTCCTAATCACCCTCTAACCCCTTACCCATAGACTCCCAATCACCCTCTAACCCCACTACCCATAGACCCCCAATCACCCTCTAACCCCACTGCCCATAGACTCCCAATTACTCATTAAACTCACTTTACAATGGACCTCTCATTCACCATCTAACCCCACAACACCATAGACCCTAAATCACTCTTTAAACCCACTTTACAATAGACCTCTCAATCCCCGTCTTACCCCAATCACACATTAAACCCACTACCCATAGACCCCCAATCACCCTCTAACCCCACTACCCATAGACTCCCAATCACTCATTAAACCCACTTTTCAATGGACCTCTCATTCACCATCTAACCCCACAACACCATAGACCCTAAATCACTCTTTAAACCCACTTTACAATAGACCTCTCAATCACCCTCCAACCCCACTACCCATAGACCCCCAATCACCCTCTAACCCCACTACCCACAGACTCCCAATCACTCTTTAAACCCACTTTACAATGGACCTCTCATTCGCCATCTAACCCCACAACACCATAGACCCTAAATCACTCTTTAAACCCACTTTACAATAGACCTCTCCATACCCATCTAACCGCAATACCCATAGGCCCCCAATCACACATTAAGCCCACTACCCATAAACCCCCAATCACCCTCTAACCCCACTACCCATAGACTCCCAATCACTCTTTAAACCCACTTTACAATGGACCTCTCATTCGCCATCTAACCCCACAACACCATAGACCCTAAATCACTCTTTAAACCCACTTTACAATAGACCTCTCCATACCCATCTAACCGCAATACCCATAGGCCCCCAATCACACATTAAGCCCACTACCCATAGACCCCCAATCACCCTCTAACCCCACTACCGATAAACTCCCAATCACTCATTAAACCCACTTTACAATGGACCTCTCAATCACCATCTAACCCCACAACACCTTAGACCCCCAATCACACATTAAACCCACTTTACAATAGACCTCCAATCACCCTCTTACCCCACTACCTATAGACCCCCAATCACCATCTAACCCCACAACACCTTAGACCCCCAATCAAACATTAAACCCACTTTACAATGGACCTCTCATTCACCATCTAACCCCACAACACCATAGACCATAAATCACTCTTTAAACCCACTTTACAATAGACCTCTCAATCCCCGTCTAACCCCGCTCTACGAAGGATCTCTCAATCACCCTCTAACCCCACTACCCATAGATCCCCAATCACTCTTTAAACCCACTTTACAATAGACCTCTCTATCACCATCCAACCCCTCTATCCATAGACCCCCCAATCACACATTAAACCCACTTTACCTTTGACCTCTCAATCATTCCTTAATCCAAGGTTTTCTAATGTCTCTTTGCTTCACCTGTACTTTCTTCCTTGTTTCATCTTTTATCTTTTGTCGTGTCAGTATAATGCACCAAAACTCTGATACAAATGTATCAGCGACACTATATTTCAGTAAAATGACGATTACATATAGCCTGACGATTGAACAATTCTGACGTCATCATCATCTTGATGTTTAACTCGTATTTTTTTTATCTTTAGAATGCCGCTGATACATTATATATCAATTGCTAATTGAATCTGCTTTGTTTGAACTATAGATTTTGTACCGCTCGACTGTTTCTAGGGGAAAAAATGCTAATAATCGTAACAATCTGGTGAATAGTCAACAGTCCCGACCCAGTCTGAGTATTTCCGACACAATCCGAATATTCCCGACACAGTCCGAGTATTCGTACGACTATGATAGGGCGTCATTGTGATCGCGATTGTTAATGTAAAAATACTTTTTTTTTTCTTCTTCTCGACATGTCGCACAGTAGAAACGTATTAAGTTCTCAACATGCCTGACCTCAATTTGATTATTTCGAAAAATTCTGTAAATAAAATGGTTGCATCATAAATATAAAATCGATCAACTGTCAAGTTTTATTTTCCAGAATTTTTGGAACCGATCAGGTAAACTGGTTCCCGAGGCTGTAGACCTGTATACTTTTACACATGTTACAAAGGATGGTTTCTATACAGTTACAACGTTGTAACTGTAGATGTATCTATTTCCTCTAAAGGTTGAGAACGAGTCCACATGGTAACAGAACCTAATTTTAAAGGTGACCTTCACAATACGTTGCAGCTCTTTGACTCGACTAGACACGTGATCTTTAAATTTCAGGCTTTGTGATAAAATCTTTCCCGAATGTCGGTGGCTATTATATTGGGTGTACAGAAAACTGATAGACAAATCCATACTTTTATTGAATGAGCTGGGATAACAAATGTACATCACTATGTTCTACATAACAAAAGCCTGTGTCCCAATTCTGTTGTATCAATGTAAGATGACAGTTATGATGTTTAATGACATAAATTTAACAGTAGTTACAAATAAAGTTATAAATTACAAGTAAAATAGTGTCTGGTTTAAAACAGTTCTGAGATTTTGCAGTATTTAGGTGTAATTTTAATACTAAGGATGAAAAATAGAAATTTACTATAATACATCTGCCATTACTAGACAGAATTATCCATTAAAAAATAGTAAATTACCCTGTAACTGGCAGAGACGTTGTCGGAATACACCTGCCACATAATGTTTTTGTTGTACTCGGCAATGACGGAAAACAGCTTATTTTAGCAGGTGCGGTAATTTGACAGAATTACTTTTCTGAATTTACATTGAAATAGGTAATTTTATAAGTTGTAATGACGAAGTTCATTTTCGAAAATTCGTGAAATCTTTGTCATATCCGTTGAAGTTTGGAACTATGTTTCCACGCGGAGCAATTATTTTGGCGTAGGTCATCAGGCAAAAATCTACGTAACGTCAACGACAGGTAAACAAAGATTGAACAATAAAACTGCTGAAGGCTTGATAGTCTGATTTACAGTCAATGTCCATGTATTCTCTGTCGAGTTCAATAATACATGAACAACATTAGTGATAGCGGAATATTGATTTCATGGAAAAAAATTCGATTGCTTGAACAAGAAGAAAAAAACTTTTCTGTGGGTGGAGGAAAAAGATCAGGTATGAATCAAATTTTTAAAAAAATCGATCATCTGTCTTCTGACGTCAAAAAGAAATGTTCTTAGTTCATCCCAAAATATTTACATTACGTCACTCACCATGTCCAACTTTGCATTTTTGTCGACACACAGCGAGAATGCAAAAGTAATCACAGTGCAGGCGGCTAGCGACAAGTAGGTATTAACTAAAGCCCTGTGCTGTTCGTCCCCACTAGCCGCTCCACCATTAAAGCTAGGCCAATAGATCCACAGAAATAAAGTGCCTGTTCAAATGGTAAAAACGAATAACCATCTAATTATATATCAGACAAGAATAACATTAAGTTTCCTACTTCCTAAATGTTGTATTATTTCACCAACCATCCGCATCGTCCATGTTACTTTCGCTAAGACTGGTGTCTGATGTAAAAATACCGACATGTTATATATATATATATTCGTTAATACTTGTGTCTGATGTAAAAATACCGACTTGTTATATATATATATTCGTTAAGACTTGTGTCTGATGTAAAAATACCGACTTGTTTTATATATATATATATATATTCGTTAAGACTTGTGTCTGATGTAAAATACCAACATGTTATATAGATATTCGCTAAGACTTGTGTCTGATGTAAAAATACCGACATGTTATATATATATATTCGCTAAGACTTGTGTCTGATGTAAAACTACCGACATGTTATATATATATATATATATATATATTGTAAGACTTGTGTCTGATGTAAAACTACCGACATGTTATATAAATTTTCGTTAAGACTTGTATCTGATGTAAAAATACCGACATGTTATATAAATTTTCGCCAATACTTGTTTCTGTTGTAAAAATACCGACATGATATATATATATTCGCTAAGACTTGTGTCTGATGTAAAAACACCGACATGTTTTATATATATTCGCTAAGACTTGTGTCTGATGTAAAAATACCGACATGTTATAAATATATTCGCTAATACTTGTATCTGATGTAAAAATACCGACATGTTATATATAGATATTCGCTAAGACTTGTATCTGATGTAAAAATACCGACATGTTATATATACGTGTCCTTGATTTCATACACGACCAAAAAAATCTGTAGCAATTAAAAACATAACTTAAAGGGAAGTGATTTGATAAGCTATTCGACAAAAATTTCAATATGAAAACAATTGAAATGTCAGCCAAAAAAGTGTGTAAATCCCCATGTAACAGAAGTATGCCTTTGATATAACAGAATATTCACATGTCAACATAAATAAGCAAACATTTTCAATACATCATTTACATAATCATAATCCATGCTCAATTTCAGTAAAACTAGGGCAAAATATGAACAAAGGAAAAATTTACACGGACACTCATGCAGATGTACAAGGCGAATATGACCAGGTGTTCCGGAAGTATCGGTGCCTCCTAGACGAAATCCACCATTTGTCTATCAGTTGTTGACGTTTTTGAGGGAAAGATTGTAATACTGGGAACAAGCCCTTGAAATATAGAATAAGCTGTTACATGTAAATATCATTGGATGGAGAGGCAGAGATATTGCTATCTAAAATAAAGAAAAATTCAAAATAGGGAAATTGAAGCTAGTCGTGTCCTTGATTTCATACACGACCAAAAAAATCTGTAGCAATTAAAAACAGGTCGTCATCACTATAACTTAAAGGGAAGTGATTTGATAAGCTATTCGACAAAAATTTAGACTCGTATGAAAACAAACGAAATGTCAGCCAAGATTGGCGCAAAGTGTGTTCCCCTTGGGTTCCCTTTGGTATAACAGAAGTATGTTCCCTTTGATATAACAGAAGTATGTTCCCTTTGGTATAACAGAAGTCTGTTTCCTTTGGTATAACAGAAGTATGTTCCCTTTGGTATAACAGAAGTATGTTCCCTTTGGTATAACAGAAGTCTGTTCCCTTTGGTATAACAGAAGTCTGTTCCCTTTGGTATAGCAGAAGTCTGTTCCCTTTGGTATAGCAGAAGTCTGTTCCCTTTGGTATAACAGAAGTCTGTTCCCTTTGGTATAACAGAAGTCTGTTCCCTTTGGTATAACAGAAGTATGTTCCCTTTGGTATAACAGAAGTCTGTTCCCTTTGGTATAACAGAAGTCTGTTCCCTTTGGTATAACAGAAGTCTGTTCCCTTTGGTATAACAGAAGTGTGTTCCCTTTGGTATAACAGAAGTCTGTTCCCTTTGGTATATTCCCTTTGGTATAACAGAAGTCTGTTTCCTTTTGTATACAGAAGTTCCCTGTTCCCTTTGGTATAACAGAAGTATGTTCCCTTTGGTATAACAGAAGTCAGTTCCCTTTGGTAAAACAGAAGTATGTTCCCTTTGGTATAACAGAAGTCTGTTCCCTTTGGTAAAACAGAAGTATGTTCCCTTTGGTATAACAGAAGTCTGTTCCCTTTGGTATATTCCCTTTGGTATAACAGAAGTCTGTTTCCTTTTGTATAACAGAAGTCAGTTCCCTTTGGTAAAACAGAAGTATGTTCCCTTTGGTATATCAGAAGTATGTTCCCTTTGGTATAACAGAAGTCTGTTCCCTTCGGTATAACAGAAGTATTTTCCCTTTGGTATAACAGAAGTATTTTCCCTTTGGTATAACAGAAGTCTGTTCCCTTTGGTATAACAGAAGTCTGTTCCCTTTGGTATAGCAGAAGTCTGTTCCCTTTGGTATAGCAGAAGTCTGTTCCCTTTGGTATAACAGAAGTCAGTTCCCTTTGGTATAACAGAGGTATGTTCCCTTTGGTATAGCAGAAGTCTGTCCCTTTGGTATGTTCCCTTTGGTATAACAGAAGTCTGTTCCCTTTGGTATAACAGAAGTCAGTTCCCTTTGGTAAAACAGAAGTATGTTCCCTTTGGTATAACAGAAGTCTGTTCCCTTTGGTATAGCAGAAGTCTGTTCCCTTTGGTATAACAGAAGTATGTTCCCTTTGGTATAACAGAAGTCTGTTCCCTTTGGTATGCTCCCTTTGATATAACAGAAGTATGTTCCCTTTGATATAACAGAAGTATGTTCCCTTTGGTATAACAGAAGTCTGTTCCCTTTGGTATAACAGAAGTCTGTTCCCTTTGGTATAGCAGAAGCCTGTTCCCTTTGGTATAGCAGAAGTCTGTTCCCTTTGGTATAACAGAAGTCTGTTCCCTTTGGTATAGCAGAAGTCTGTTCCCTTTGGTATAACAGAAGTCTGTTCCTTTTGGTATATTCCCTTTGGTATCACAGAAGTCTGTTTCCTTTGGTATAACAGAAGTCAGTTCCCTTTGGTATAACAGAAGTATGTTCCCTTTGGTATAACAGAAGTCTGTTCCCTTTGGTAAAACAGAAGTATGTTCCCTTTGGTATAACAGAAGTCTGTTCCCTTTGGTATGTTCCCTTTGGTATAACAGAAGTATGTTCCCTTTGGTATAACAGAAGTCTGTTCCCTTTGGTATAACAGAAGTATGTTCCCTTTGGTATAGCAGAAGTCTGTTCCCTTTGGTATAACAGAAGTCTGTTCCCTTTGGTATAACAGAAGTATGTTCCCTTTGGTAAAACAGAAGTATGTTCCATTTGGTATATCAGAAGTATGTTCCCTTTGGTTCCCTTTGGTATAACAGAAGTCAGTTCCCTTTGGTATAACAGAAGTCTGTTCCCTTTGGTATAATAGAAGTCTGTTCCCTTTGGTCAAACAGAAATATGTTCCCTTTGGTATAACAGAAGTCAGTTCCCTTTGGTAAAACAGAAGTATGTTCCCTTTGGTATAACAGAAGTCTGTTCCCTTTGGTATAACAGAAGTATGTTCCCTTTGGTATAACAGAAGTCTGTTCCCTTTGGTAAAACAGAAGTATGTTCCATTTGGTATAGCAGAAGTCTGTTCCCTTTGGTATAGCAGAAGTCTGTTCCCTTTGGTATAACAGAAGTCTGTTCCCTTTGGTATAACAGAAGTATGTTCCCTTTGGTATAACAGAAGTCTGTTCCCTTTGGTATAACAGAAGTCTGTTCCCTTTGGTATAACAGAAATATGTTCCCTTTGGTATAACAGAAGTCAGTTCCCTTTGGTAAAACAGAAGTATGTTCCCTTTGGTATAACAGAAGTCAGTTCCCTTTGGTATAACATAAGTCTGTTCCCTTCGGTATAACAGAAGTATGTTCCCTTTGGTATAACAGAAGTATGTTCCCTTTGGTATAACAGAAGTCTGTTCCCTTTGGTATAACAGAAGTCTGTTCCCTTTGGTATAACAGAAGTATGTTCCCTTTGGTATAACAGAAGTCTGTTCCCTTTGGTAAAACAGAAGTATGTTCCCTTTGGTATAACAGAAGTCTGTTCCCTTTAATATAACAGAAGTATTTTCCCTTTGGTATAACAGAAGTCAGTTCCCTTTGGTATAACAGAAGTCTGTTCCCTTTGGTATAATAGAAGTCTGTTCCCTTTGGTATAACAGAAGTCTGTTCCCTTTGGTATAGCAGAAGTCTGTTCCCTTTGGTATAACAGAAGTATGTTCCCTTTGGTATAACAGAGGTATGTTCCATTTGGTATAGCAGAAGTCAGTTCCCTTTGGTATAACAGAAGTATGTTCCCTTCGGTATAACATAAGTCTGTTCCCTTCGGTATAACATAAGTCTGTTCCCTTCGGTATAACAGAAGTATGTTCCCTTTGATATAACAGAAGTATGTTCCCTTTGGTATAACAGAAGTCTGTTCCCTTTGGTATAACAGAAGTCTGTTCCCTTTGGTATAACAGAAGTCTGTTCCCTTTGGTATATTCCCTTTGGTATAACAGAAGTTCCCTTTGGTATAACAGAAGTATGTTCCCTTTGGTATAACAGAAGTTCCCTGTTCCCTTTGGTATAACAGAATGTTCCCTTTGGTATAACAGAAGTCTATTCCCTTTGGTATAACAGAAGTCTGTTTCCTTTTGTATAACAGAAGTCAGTTCCCTTTGGTAAAACAGAAGTATGTTCCCTTTGGTATATTCCCTTTGGTATAACAGAAGTCAGTTCCCTTTGGTATAACAGAAGTGTGTTCCCTTTGGTATAGCAGAAGTCTGTTCACTTTCGTATGTTCCCTTTGGTATAACAGAAGTCTGTTCACTTTCGTATGTTCCCTTTGGTATAGCAGAAGTCTGTTCCCTTTGGTATAGCAGAAGTCTGTTCCCTTTGGTATAGCAGAAGTCTGTTCCCTTTGGTATAGCAGAAGTCTGTTCCCTTTGGTATAGCAGAAGTCTGTTCCCTTTGGTATAACAGAAGTCTGTTCCCTTTGGTATAACAGAAGTCTGTTCCCTTTGGTATAACAGAAGTATGTTCCCTCTGGTATAACAGAAGTCTGTTCCCTTTAGTATAACAGAAGTATTTTCCCTTTGGTATAACAGAAGTCGGTTCCCTTTGGTATAACAGAAGTCTGTTCCCTTTGGTATAACAGAAGTCTATTCCCTTTAGTATAACAGAAGTATTTTCCCTTTGGTATAACAGAAGTATGTTCCCTTCGGTATAACAGAAGTCTGTTCCCTTCGGTATAACACAAGTCTGTTCCCTTCGGTATAACACAAGTCTGTTCCCTTTGGTATAACAGAAGTCTGCTCCCTTCGGTATAACAGAAGTATGTTCCCTTTGGTATAACAGAAGTCTGTTCCCTTTGGTATAACAGAAGTCTGTTCCCTGTGGTATAACAGAAGTCTGTTCCCTTTGGTTAAACAGAAGTCTGTTCCATTTGGTATAGCAGAAGTCTGTTCCCTGCAAAAGTCTGTTCCCTTTGGTATAGCAGAAGTATGTTTCCTTTGATATAAAAGAAGTATGTTCCCTTTGGTATAACAGAAGTCTGTTCCCTTCGGTATAACAGAAGTCTGTTCCCTTTGGTATAACAGAAGTATGTTCCCTTCGGTATAACAGAAGTCTGTTCCCTTTGGTATAACAGGAGTATGTTCCCTTTGGTATGTTCCCTTTGGTTTAACAGAAGTCTGTTTGAAGATCTTACCACCAAACTAGAACCAAATATTATCAAGTAGAAATTCGACTATTAAATAACAAACAAATGAACCAAGAAGAAGCTCCTGCTACAATTATCGGTCAGAGGGGGTGTTCCCAGTTTGCCAACACCAATTATCTGGTATGTTATTTTAAGGGATTAAAGTCAGTTTCTAAATTACGGGTTACCTGTTAAATGTCTGTTTACCTGTGGGAGATACTTAGTGGGCAAACATTTTGACTATAGACTTTTACAGTGGTTATTATAGGCTAATATAGTTGGTTTATTTTAGAAATTGTACATTTACATAAATTCTATTTAGTATTTTATAAAAATGATATGTTTATTTATTGTATTTACTATCGTCTTGTTTATTTACAATAATTGTATTTAGTATTTCATATGATAGATATAGATAGGGTTTTGTATTGAACAAATGTGTTATTATATTATTATTACCATCTACTGTGACGGAACATTCTACACCTGCCCAAAACTCTTCTACCAGATTTACTCAATACACGCACAGATAGACGGACACATGTATCCTTTGGTCTACGCTCTACTACCAGGAAAGACACAGATCTACACCACATTTTTCACTTTGTTGAAAACGACCATGGCCAACGTGAACCTCCCACTAAACCCATCCGGATATTTCAGGAGATACAGGCAGTCAACGAGATTACCAGGATATAGCGCAGCACAGGAGGATCTTACAGACCATGGGCCAAGAAATACCGGACCACTGAACACAGACTCGCACAGCTGAAGATGATATCTAGGCGACGAATAAGTGTTATCAAGTGACTCTGTGTACTAAAAGTGTGATACTTCAAAGTATGATAATTTAATAACTTTAAATGCTATTTTGTGTTACATGTTTAATATACAATTACATTAATGATATTAGTGCTATTTGTATTTATCATTCGCAATATTAGTATTTTTTATGTTAATTAATATTGGTAGTGCTACTTAATTAACTTGTGTATATGTTTATTTAAAATGTAAGTATATATTATGAATGTATAATATTTTGATGAAATTAAAAACACTTTTTTTAACTATATTAATTTCTTTTACTTTTATTTTAGGAAACTAAAGTTCTATATACATATGTATATCATCTTTTTACTTCATAGTAATTTGAAAATATAGAAATGTTATATACAGGTAAATTTATCGGTAAATTTATCTGTACAGGTAACAGGTAGCTCTTTTATAGAACAAACTATAATTGTTTTTCCTTTGTTCTCCATTTTCTTTCATCTAACTAGTGTTGGCAAACTGGCACACAACCCGGTCAGAGGTGGCATGGTTAGATGCAGTCATCCGAGACGATCAGTATCCTTGTATACAGGTATGTAAGGCAGGTTGTATCTCGATTTGCCCAAATCTTGCAACTGAATGAGCGGAAGAATAATTTCAAAAGGTTATATGGCATGTCTGTTGGATTTTTCTGTGGCTTTACCTGTGTTTTTTTACCTGAATAATTATATGTTTTGTTGCCGCTGTTTTCTCCAGAAGTATAAGCTGTTTTTATTGGTTTTTATCATCGACTTTCGTATGCTTTACTGATGTTTTACCTGTATTTTCAAGCATTTTGTGATCCCAGTGTATTTGCCCCTGTATGACTTTGTCATCTAAATAAGGTGGAATCAGATAACAGCTAAACATGATAGTTATCGCATTTTTAATCTTTGTATCACGTATCAACCTTTTGTATACTAACACCTGTATGTTTTGTTGTGTTGTAGTGGTGGTGATGCTCGTCTCTTTTACCACATGACATCAGAGTATTTAATAAGATTAAGTTAGATAAACAGTAAGATAAATAATTCAAAGCAAAAAAATGATAAAAACTATGAATAATAACTATACTTTAAATGGTAATGTCTGGAAAACGATATCACAGGTAGAAATACAGGTACATTAACTGATGTGAAATGCCGGATTACTATGAAACTTTACAAATGTAAAATATCACTCCTCGGTCAAATGACAGATGTGGCAAAAGGAGACCACACAATCTGATATCGTACAGCGAACCTGTGAACAATGGTCGGGAGTTTAACAGGAACACAGATTGGTATAATCTTTAACATGCATTCTATTGTATCAACGATAATCTATTCTGGTTCAAATAAAACATAAACCGGTGTTAATTCCTAATTTTATCAAACCATTTTCACTAGAATCGGAAATCAAAGATACGACAGACTTTTCTACATCAATTGATTATTCGATTTTTTCCCAACAACGAAACCAATATCGACAGACAAGCTGTGTAATAGGTATGGTTATTTTAATTTCCCTATTCTGAATTTTCCATTAATAGATAGCTGTATGCATGCATCTCCAACATATGGTTCTTACCTGTCACATTTGATTTGATTGTCAATGACAATTTCCATTATAACGATATTGGTGCCAGAAGTAGTCAACTGAGGGCAAAACTCTTAGCACAGGATTTCAAGAGATGCAGGTTGGTGAAACTATGGGGAATGTTTAAAGCCGTCACCGTGATCTCATTGAACATATCATATTCGTGTGTGTGATATAAAACTGGACTCGCTTGATGCTCGTTAACTGGTCTGTTGTTCCGTTGTGTGGAATAAAACTGGACTCGTTTGATGCTCGTCAACTGGTCTGTTGTTCCGTTGTGTGATATAAAACTGGACTCGCTTGATGCTCGTTAACTGGTCTGTTGTTCCGTTGTGTGATATAAAACAGGACTCGCTTGATGCTCGTTAACTGGTCTGTTGTTCCGTTGTGTGATATAAAACTGGACTCGTTTGATGCTCGTCAACTGGTCTGTTGTTCCGTTGTGTGATATAAAACTGGACTCGCTTGATACTCGTTAACTGGTCTGTTGTTCCGTTGTGTGATATAAAACTGGACTCGCTTGATGCTCGTTAACTGGTCTGTTGTTCCGTTGTGTGATATAAAACTGGACTCGCTTGATGCTCGTTAATTGGTCTGTTGTTCCGTTGTTTTATGAGTAGTTCCCATTTGATTTACATGGAAGGCGTCTGCGATGAAGCATAAGACTCTCAGTATTCCGGAACACGTGCTCTTATTCTCCTTGTACTTTTTCAGACGTCTTCGCGTAAATTTTTCTTTGGTTCATATTTACCCTAGTTTTATTGAATTTGAGTTTGGATTATGTTTATGTTGTTATTTGGGTATTTTCTTGTTGTTATTCATCAGCAAACATAGGCGAGTCTGTACAATATGAAATTGATAATGTATTTTATACTCTATTGTTGCACATTACGCAATGACGAATCGATTGGGACAATTGTTTATAACCATACTGCACAGTTTAATGCAAAGCCATGTATTAGATAATTCATTACCACATAAAAAACGACTATGAAAGAAAAAACAGCTGTGTATCATTGCAAAGCATTCACCTTAAACGAAATTTTTAAAAATGAAGTCATTTGTTATCATCGATACGTTTAAGACAACTTACCGATCATAGAGAAGATATCAGAGTGATATACTGCGCCTTCCTTTGAAGATTTTTCAATGTCCTCGGAAAACAGAACACGTGAAGCTGCAAGACCGAAATAGGCACCAAAGGCGTGGATGTACATGGATTCGCCAACGTCCTCTGCCTGCAAACAGATCTTATCTACATTCATCTAGACATCAAAAAGTTTAGAACTGAATGGAACAACCAATTTCATCATAATATGAATTATAGCTTGAAGGAAGGTATGTTTGATATTTGAACGTGTCTGAATTCATAAGCACAACGAACATCGTATGATGTCTACGCGGTGTGGAAATGTGGTCATTTCTCACTGTAAGTATATTATACTGAGAAAGTTTCAACCAATTTGGAATTTATTCTCAGTTGTTCCCTACCTTTTGAACAATCTAAGCCCTTGAATCATTGTCGAGTTCGAGATAAATGTAACAGCTGCGTGATGTAGTTAAACATTATTTACAACTCCAATATCTAATTCTTAACTGATATATGTGTTTCACAAGAATGTCTTTTGTACAATCTTCAATTTAATTTGATATGAAAAATGTTTATGTAACTTGAAACTATATACATGGTATATCGTAAGATATAAGCATTTTCAAAGATACCTACCTTGAGTTTGTCGAGTCCAATATACTCATTAATCTGACACAGCACTACTTCTATGAGACCCATGATAATCAGCTGGAGTGGACTCGTCTTTCCTAGAACTGCCCCGAATGAAATCAGTACTGTTGCTGCAGCAAAATCCGCGCTGAGCATGCTATATAAAATATATACAACGATAATATTATCATATCTGGTTATAAAATATACACAGATAATATTATCATATCTGGGTATAAAATATACAGATAATATTATCATATCTGGTTGTAAAATATACAGATAATATTATCATATCTGGTTGTAAAATATACAGATAATATTATCATATCTGGTTGTAAAATATACAGATAATATTATCATATACAGATAATATTATCATATTTTGGTATAAAACATATACACAGAAAATATTATCATATCTGGTTATAAAATATACCGATAATATTATCATATCTGGTTGTAAAATATACAGATATTATTATCATATCTGGGTATAAAATATATACAGGTAATATTATCCTAGTTACGGCTGGTTGTTTACAAAACAACGTGAAGCCGAATGTTGTTTTCCTCACTATTTTGCTTTCTATAATGATTGTTTACCACAACGTTGCTTAAGTAATGATATGCTAATACTGTTGAACTTGACCTTCATCTTGTCAATATAAGCCTTGATGTATACTTTTTACAGAGAAGAGATTACATCCAAAACAAACGAATCTATTGTTACACGTAGATACACAGACAGGACAAGGGACATTTGAGGGACTTGAGAAAGGCACCATGTGAAGACTTGACACGGATTAGTTACCAAGGTTAGGTTTGTCGGTTAATGACATATCTCATACCATAAAAGGAGAAAAACATATAAGAGTATTTTCTGTTCTTTCTGTTTAAATGTCGTCGTGTATTGGTTATATTCAATCGCATCTTTATAGCACTATGCAATGTTATTATTATTATTATTATTATCTTTGCATTTTGTTTTGAAATTTAAAGTTTCCTTTTAGAGATTATCTTACTTATACTAGATATAAAGATACTATGTAGGAAGCCACGTTGTTGCTAAAAATCGTTCTGAGAGAGAATGAAACCAGATATTCTAGATGTTGAATATAAATAGATTGAAACATGTAAACAAAATAACAAGGGGTCACAGTGATGATACATTTTAACAGAGAGGTGATGACCTTAAAACCCAATCTCTGCCTTCAACAACATAACTATGCCGTATTCACTGGCGTTTATACTGATTTTTTTTCTATTTGCAGACAAAATATTCCTTTTAATGATAATGTCCTCTTTTTACATGATTCAGGTATCTACCCTGTATCATCTCTTAAACAACAGTTATTTACCCTGTATCATCTCTAAAACAACAGTTATCTACCCTGTATCATCTCTTAAACAACAGTTATCTGCCCTGTATCATCTCTAAAACAACAGGTATCTACCCTGTACTATCTCTTAAACAACAGGTATCTACCCTGTATCATCTCTTAAACAACAGGTATCTACCCTGTATCATCTCTAAAACAACAGGTATCTATCCTGTACTATCTCTTAAACAACAGGTATCCACCCTGTATCATCTCTAAAACAACAGTTATCTACACTGTAATACATAGTTAATGAATGAGAGTATTGAATTTGATTTTAGATATCAGTGGAACGTGATGTCTCGCGGAATTGTGTTTCAAGCATTCCCGTTCAAGTAATATTTGTGTTGTGTTGATTTCCGTGTTAAAATAACAACAACGAAAACACTAATATGTCAACAAAATTTTCATTCAAATTAGAATTCAATTAACATAGGGAAAATAAGACCGCGCGTTCAGAAAGAGGAAGCGTCCTCTACTTGATCGACAACATTCTCCATGTAAATCTTGGTCAATCCAACTAAAAATGTCACGTTACCAAATGGGAAAAAATCTTTGCGGGGAAAAACATTTTCTTATCTTGTCGCGACCAATTGCTTTGATCAAAGGAGAGTTCTTATAAAGTTTGCATATTTATAATTGATCTCTTAGCAACTCCTAGTATTAGGCGTTTAAGTTGAACGTTCTCACTTACGGGGAAGGTAATATTTATTTTTGTCCCGACCCTACGTCACTTTAAACTGTTTATGTCTAATGTTTTGCGCATAACACTGATTTGGTTAATCAATAAATAATATTCAGATTAACTTTTGTAGAAATTCAATAACTCGTTTCCTTTTCACTAGACAACCATATGTCCATGTGTACAACCCTTGGATATTGTCACGATGTCATAAACCGGAAACCTAACAATTCGTGTTATTACTAACCTTCTCATGTACATCGTACTTGTTTCTATATATAGTTATTAAATCTCTTGAAAGAAGAATGTCACGTTTCATTCAGTGGCGACAAAAGAAAACTGTGTCAGCTTTAGATCATAATAACTTACTCTCCGACTCCGACCGTAAATTTGTGTTCATCGTGCAGTAGCTGATGTATGACACCACGGACGATGAGAGCCCACTGGACGATGACAGCGGCGATGAGAAGGTTAATACTGACAGCGGAGTAGCCATATCTCTTTAGAAAGGTCATTAAAAACCCAAAACCAATAAATATCATCACGTGTACATCCTGGAACACTGAAATACAATAAAAAATACAATAAAAAATATGATTAAATTAGAAGAACATTCCAAGAAAAATGAAACAAAAATACAATAAAAATAAAATAGAAATACTATCAGAATCAAATGACAATACCAAGAGAATGAAAATAAGTGGGAAGGCGACACATGTTGGATCATGTTGTTCCCTGAATTATTTTTACTAGATAACATTTTCATATAAAGTATATATCAAAGTCAATAAAATTAGTTTTAATTGATGACGTCATAACGTTCATGACATGGCAGTGTTCGTGAACGGGCTGCCACGAATAGATATATCTAATATCTGAATGTTCGGAAATTACAAAACGATATACATAATTTAAAATATTATATACTTTACATAGATACATGAATTTGTTCTGGTAGTCAGTAACGCCTCACGTTGTCACATTTATCTACCCTGTATCATCTCTAAAACAAGAGTTATCTACCCTGTATCATCACTAAAACAAGAGTTATCTACCCTGTATCATCTCTAAAACAGGAGTTATCTACCCTGTATCATCTCTAAAACAACAGTTATATACCCTGTATCATCTCTTAAACAACAGGCATCTACCCTGTATCATCTCTAAAACAACAGTTATATACACTGTATCATCTCTAAAACAACAGTTATCTACTCTGTATCATCTCTAAAACAACAGGCATCTACCCTGTATCATCTCTAAAACAAGAGTTATCTACCCTGTATCATCTCTAAAACAACAGGTATCTACCCTGTATCATCTCTAAAACAACAGGTATCTACCCTGTATCATCTCTAAAACAACAGGCATCTACCCTGTATCATCTCTAAAACAACAGGCATCTACACTGTATCATCTCTAAAACAACAGGTATCTACCCTGTATCATCTCTAAAACAACAGGTATCTACCCTGTATCATCTCTAAAACAACAGTTATCTACCCTGTATCATCTCTAAAACAACAGTTATCTACCCTGTATCATCTCTAAAACAACAGTTATCTACCCTGTATCATCTCTAAAACAACAGGCATCTACCCTGTATCATCTCTAAAACAAGAGTTATCTACCCTGTATCATCTCTAAAACAACAGTTATCTACCCTGTATCATCTCCAAAACAACAGTTATCAACCCTGATATATCTGTAGCAATGTTTATTATACAATCATTGATTGTTCTGTTTTGATATAATTTATTTCCTTTAGTCGTATATGTTTGTGTCTGGATCCTCAAATTTTTGTAATTTGATGCCTGATAATAGTTGTAAACAACTCTGACTTTGTTAATAAATACCTGCCTGCTGTACGCGCAACTTGCACACGTTATGTACCTTGATAAAGTCCGCTGATAAGCAAATTTGTTTCATTTCGTTAAGAAAATAAATGTATGTTTGAACATTTTCAAAGGTCGCAAGCAGGTGTATGGTAGTTAAAAAGAGCACTTCGTCTTTATAAAATTTCGTATCTAAAGTCAATATTCCCAGCACTGTAGTGACTCTATATTTGACCAATATCGATATGATATGATTTAATTAACGTTGAATACCGACACGTGAAAAGAATCGTAAACTCAAAACCGAAATATGAAATCAAAAGAAAGATTTACATGGTGATTCATGTACAAAAAACTAAACGAAGTTCCGGAAGAATAAACTTCTTCGGCGTCAATGGCGACACTCGTCATGTTTAACTTAGGTCAATTAAAGTAAGTAGGTATTAGTTTTCTGTATCTAACTTAAGCCAGAGGAAACACCGAGTCCGCATCTGTTTTATTTCTAACTTGATAAATCTTGAAAATTTAGTCAGTGTATTCATATATTACCCATCATATGATAAAATGTTATACAGATATTATGTAAATGAAGTCATATATAAAGCTGGGTTTATTTCATGTTCATTAGTGTTCCTGATGATTGTGGTGATGTTGTTATCTTTGTCCTTTTTTAGGACCAAGGTGTCCATGGCATGTGTCGTTGATGAAGCAGAAGACGCTTACTCTACCGGAACAATTGGTCCTTTTCTCCTTGTACTTTTTTCGGAAGTCTCCATGCAAATCTTTAAGTTGTTCATGTTATGCGTTAGTTTAATTGAAATTGAGTTTGGATTATTATTGTGTTAATATGATGCATTTTTTTTATTATAATCATTCTACATGGTCGATGCGCCAACCCTTCCGAAACATCTGGTCTTAAATTCATTGATTGTTTTCATGAGTCTTAGTGTAAAACGTTTTCTTGAAGAAAATATTCTGTAAAGTTTTCATGTTTATTTTTTGCCATGGTTACATTTGAGCTTGTAAACAATTCTGACGATGTGTTTTTATTCGAGTATAGACAAATCCTAGGCTGTGTAGATAGGAGACATAACGTGCATTAGAGCCATGAACTTTTATTCCGACCCTGTGAGATAGACAGATGGACAAACATCAGGAAACGTTCACGAGCGCCAAAGATGGGAGATATATTCATACCGAAACAGCGGTGATAGGATAAATAGCTGGACACGATTACAGAGTGATTGTCCCTGCAGAGTGATTGTCTCTACAGAGTGATTGTCTCTACAGAGTGATTGTCCTACAGAGTGATTGTCCCTACAGAGTGATTGTCGATTGTCCCTACAGAGTGATTGTCCCTACAGAGTGATTGTCCCTACAGAGTGAATGTCCTACAGAGTGATTGTCCCTACAGAGTGATTGTCCTACAGAGTGATTGTCCTACAGAGTGATTGTCCCTACAGAGTGATTGTAGCTACAGAGTGATTGTCCCTACAGAGTGATTGTCCTACAGAGTGATTGTCCCTACAGAGTGATTGTCCCTACTGAGTGATTGTCCTACAGAGTGATTGTCCTACAGAGTGATTGTCCTACAGAGTGATTGTCCCTACAGAGTGATTGTCCCTACATAGTGATTGCCCTACAGAGTGATTGTCCCTACAGAGTGATTGTAGCTACAGAGTGATTGTCCCTACAGAGTGATTGTCCCTACTGAGTGATTGTCCCTACAGAGTGATTGTCCTACTGAGTGATTGTCCCTACAGAGTGATTGTCCTACAGAGTGATTGTCCCTACAGTGTGATTGTCCCTACAGAGTGATTGTAGCTACAGAGTGATTGTCCCTACAGAGTGATTGTAGCTACAGAGTGATTGTCCCTACAGAGTGATTGTAGCTACAGAGTGATTGTCCCTACAGAGTGATTGTCCCTACTGAGTGATTGTCCCTACAGAGTGATTGTCCCTACAGAGTGATTGTCCCTACATAGTGATTGCCCTACAGAGTGATTGTCCCTACAGAGTGATTGTAGCTACAGAGTGATTGTCCCTACAGAGTGATTGTCCCTACTGAGTGATTGTCCCTACAGAGTGATTGTCCTACTGAGTGATTGTCCCTACAGAGTGATTGTCCTACAGAGTGATTGTCCCTACAGTGTGATTGTTCCTACAGAGTGATTGTAGCTACAGAGTGATTGTCCCTACAGAGTGATTGTAGCTACAGAGTGATTGTCCCTACAGAGTGATTGTAGCTACAGAGTGATTGTCCCTACAGAGTGATTGTCCCTACTGAGTGATTGTCCCTACAGAGTGATTGTCCTTCTGAGTGATTGTCCCTACAGAGTGATTGTCCTACAGAGTGATTGTCTCTACAGAGTGATTGTCCTACTGAGTGATTGTCCCTACAAAGAGATTGTCCTACTGAGTGATTGTCCCTACAGAGTGATTGTCCTACAGAGTGATTGTCCCTACAGAGTGATTGTAGCTACAGAGTGATTGTCCTACAGAGTGATTGTAGCTACAGAGTGATTGTCCTACAGAGTGATTGTCCCTACAGAGTGATTGTAGCTACAGAGTGATTGTCACTACCAATTGCTTATCTTTATGACCTGTATCGTGATATGTTTACCTGTCATTTATAGTACGTACACGTACTTGAATTCCTTTTGAAATTATCACATATATAAAGACTATGGAACTTATATCATTATGAGACTTGTGCACACGTCCATCTAGATTTTGAAATCTCTTTTAATGAGTTTTTGATTTCCTTGGTCGCCGTCTAGAAAACAACTGCATGGTTAAGTTAATACAATTCCTTGCTCTACTTTATTTCTAAATTTGTGTTCAAAGGTGTTATTTATTCGTGTGTCTATTCAAATTCTCACTTTTGCTACATCACAAATTTCACGAGGCTCCTTTCATCAATATAAATCACAATATTGATGTTCTCTTGTTCTTCCATTACAGATTTGTTTTTCTTACAACGATCGTAACAGTTTGTGTATCTTTAAGCACATATTTACGAAGTTCATCACTGACAACGTCTGTAGCATTTATATCTAAGACAGAAAAATACCAAGTTCTCAAAATAAGAACCGAGAAAGGATATAAAAAATACACATACAAAACAAAGTAAATAATCTCATTTTTCAATGTTGTGTATTTAAGGGCCAAGGACACTGATTGACTTTATAAATCCAAATGATTGTACAAGCTAGTGACGTATCTACCATATCTGTAAGCTACATAACAAAGTATAAAAACATTATCCGACCTTGCACCAATACCTCTAAATCCGAAACTATCACTACATTTCGTAACCTAATACGCGACCTTTTTTTATAAAGGAAAGTAAAAAAAGAATAGCAACGCTTCTGTTAAGTGTTTATTTTTCAGACAGAATGATACGTACGAAGTTATAATATACTACTATCCGTAGTAGATTTATCATTAATCGTTTTGTCGACACAAGGATGCATGGCTGAAGCCATCCCCGGGATGGTAACGAATCTAAATTACCGTGAAACCTAATAAATATAAAGCATTCAGTGAACATGTGAGACATGCTTTGTTATAAAGACATTTAACACGAGTGTCTGGTTCACAAAAAGAAAATAACCCAGTTCTAACCCCCGATTAACCCTAGGCCAGTAAATACTATCATACATCAACGTCTCCACCGACCGGACGATATCTGTCTTTCTCGACCTTCATCCAGTACACATGTCCTCTTCATAACCGAATTTCATGTTGTGAAAAACATATGAATGAAAATGATAAGATGACAATGGAGATGAAATTTAATATTCTGTCGTGGTAGATAAAACTTGACTTTACAAAGCGTGTACTTACGGTATATATAGAATTACAAAGCAAGTAGTATCCCTGTATTTGAAAATGACGAGAGAAGATGGGAAGTGAAGCTTTTGACTGACGCTGCCATTCCAAATCCCCAAAATGTTCATTAAGTCATAACTGAGATCGCTTATAAATACACAAATTAATAACATCTTTATCTAATAAAAATTTCCGTGTTAATGAAAAATACAGCATCAATAAGTTGTTCAAAATCCGATTTTCAGTAGGGAACGTTGAAAAGGTTAATTCATCCAAGGTGTCACGTGATGTGGCCACTACTATGTGTAATGAACCGTGACTTAACACGACGATTGCCAATTACCCGTACATGAGATTGAAACAATTGTGATGTGGTAGTTCCTCGAATCGTGACCTAACTGAACTAACTCACGTAATCAGATTTTTTTATACCAGCGTTCGAGAAACAAAAAGTAATATGTTAACTCAGAGGGCAATTAATTAATTTTGATAATACGTCTGAAATATATATTCAAAATAATGTCAGTCAACTAACCCCTGTTAAAATAACAAAACATTTGCATGTTTATATACAGAACTAAAACAATATCATCACTATTATCAGAGTCAGCAAAACAAAGATCCGTTACGTGTAAAGATATGTTGATACATCACTAGTAAGGGAAATTATCAATTTATAATTGTAACTCGTAGTACATCGAAACTTATGTATCACTATAACAACCCAAAGCAACACATCTACCATGTTTATTGTCACGTGATTGACGTGTTATTACATAAACATGTCAATATAAACGTATATCGTAGCTATTATGACGTCTGAATACGACAATCAAACCACGTCACGCGCTCATATTCCATTATGATGTCATAATGAGATATAATTAAGGTAAAGTGGCAATGAACAGCTTGTAATAAAGATGAAAGTTTTTAATCAATATCTGCTGAAATATCTTTTGACATATTTGATGACGTCATAACAATGTTAAGTTATATACGTGTACATGATTTCGTTTTCTTTGTTCATATTTTTGCATGCGAGAAAAGTGAATATATTTTAATACAATAACACTTATAACATACCAACCCTTATAACACACCAACCCTTATAACACACAAACCCTTATAACATACCAACCCTTATAAAACACCAATCCTTATAACACACCAACCCTTATAACACACAAACCCTTATAACATACCAACCCTTATAACACACCAACCCTTATAACACACAAACCCTTATAACATACCAACCCTTATAACACACCAACCCTTATAACACACCAACCCTTATAACACACCAACCCTTATAACACACAAACCCTTATAACATACCAATCCTTATAACACACAAACCCTTATAACATACCAATCCTTATAACACAACATCTCCTATAACATACCAACCCTTATAACATACCAACCCTTATAACACAACAACCTATATAACACACCAACCCTTATAGCACACCAACCCTTATAAGATACCAACCCTTATAACACAACAACCCTTATAACACTCCAACCCTTATAACATACCAACCCTTATAACACAACAACCCTTAGAACATACCAACCCTTATAACACAACAACTCTTATAACATACCAACCCTTATAACACAACAACTCTTATAACATACCAACTCTTATAACATACCAACCCTTATAACACAACAACCCTTATAACATACCAACCCTTATAACATACCAACCCTTATAACACAACAACCCTTATAACACACCAACCCTTATAACATACCAACCCTTATAACACAACAACCCTTAGAACATACCAACCCTTATAACACAACAACTCTTAGAACATACCAACCCTTATAACACAACAACTCTTATAACATACCAACCCTTATAACATACCAACCCTTATAACACAACAACTCTTATAACACAACATCTTCTATAACATACCAACCCTTATAACACAACAACTCTTATAACATACCAACCCTTATAACACAACTCTTATAACATACCAACCCTTATAACACAACAACCCTTATAACATACCAACCCTTATAACACATCTTCTATAACATACCAACCCTTATAACACAACAACTCTTATAACATACCAACCCTTATAACACAACAACCCTTATAACATACCAACCCTTATAACACAACTCTTATAACATACCAACCCTTATAACACAACAACCCTTATAACACACCAACCCTTATAACACACCAACCCTTATAGCACACCAACCCTTATAACATACCAACCCTTATAACACAATAACCCTTATAACATACCAACCCTTATAACATATCAACCCTTATAACATACCAACCCTTATAACATACCAACCCTTATAACACAACATCTCCTATAACATACCAACCCTTATAACACAACAACCCTTATAACATACCAACCCTTATAACATATCAACCCTTATAACATACCAACCCTTATAACATACCAACCCTTATAACACAACATCTCCTATAACATACCAACCCTTATAACACAACATCTCCTATAACATACCAACCCTTATAACACAACATCTCCTATAACATAATAAACATTATAACATAAGAACACCTTTAATGTAATAACCCTATAATATGACAACCTCTATAGCATAATAACCCCTATGCTACAGGAAGATATGTCTACAAAACATGTTTGATTATAGTTTTGGGTAACTTTGGAAAATAAGGAGTTACGAGGACATATTATCAGTCAGTAAGTCTGCCCTTTTAGTTCCTGATCCAACCTGAAAACGTGAAAGTAATACAATGTTGTAAAACACGTTTTAAATTGTACGTTAGCTGTTTCTGATAACTGATTTAGGTAAAAGCCAATTTGCTTACTTGGATACATTCCAATAGTGCTGTCAGAGCTCTTATCTTCACGCCTGGGCTTCGCTGCGGGGTCATAGTCACCGAAAACACCAAACAGAATGATAAATACAATCTGCAAAATGCACATAAATATTGTAAATTTTCCTCTCCTTGCGAACGACATATTGATTGGTAATTAAGTCTGTGTTGTAATTACAGAATATATTGTCAACAGCTGTTCTTCTGTTCTTCTGTACAACTCTCTGATAAGCACCGTCGCTCTGATGATGTCATACTTTTATAGCGAATTATGTGGGCGTCACCCGTCATCGTCCAATCAGAATACGTCTTCCACACACACCTTTGTCTGTAACATGATCTTGACATCTCTCGGTAAGCGTATTCAAAGTCTATTCAATAACCTAAATGAGCATCCCGTCGACAATACAACATTGTACAATCTTCGAAATAGCAGGTTGTAGACACTGTTGGCAGACGACTAGTCTGTAACTGGCATGCTGCCCTTTTTTCAAAAAAATAAATTCATTTCATTAGTAGCACGGTTCTGAATATACACATGTACTTCATGTTCGTCTAGAATGATAAGATATATGAATTTTACAACATTTACTTATTAAGGGACATATCTCTATCTAGACCGGTATTACTTATTAAGGGACATATCTAGACCGGTATTACTTATTAAGGGACATATCTCTATCTAGACCGGTATTACTTATTAAGGGACATATCTCTATCTAGACCGGTATTACTTATTAAGGGACATATCTAGACCGGTATTACTTATTAAGGGACATATCTCTATCTAGACCGGTATTACTTATTAAGGGACATATCTAGACCCGTATTACTTATTAAGGGACATATCTCTATCTAGACCGGTATTACTTATTAAGGGACATATCTCTATCTAGACCGGTATTACTTATTAAGGGACATATCTAGACCGGTATTACTTATTAAGGGACATATCTCTATCTAGACCGGTATTACTTATTAAGGGACATATCTCTATCTAGACCGGTATTACTTATTAAGGGACATATCTCTATCTAGACCGGTATTACTTATTAAGGGACATATCTAGACCCGTATTACTTATTAAGGGACATATCTCTATCTAGACCGGTATTACTTATTAAGGGACATATCTCTATCTAGACCGGTATTACTTATTAAGGGACATATCTAGACCGGTATTACTTATTAAGGGACATATCTAGACCGGTATTACTTATTAAGGGACATATCTAGACCGGTATTACTTATTAAGGGACATATCTCTATCTAGACCGGTATTACTTATTAAGGGACATATCTAGACCGGTATTACTTATTAAGGGACATATCTCCATCTAGACCGGTTTTACTTATTAAGGGACATATCTAGACCGGTATTACTTATTAAGGGACATATCTCTATCTAGACCGGTATTACATATTAAGGGACATATCTCTATCTAGACCGGTATTACTTATTAAGGGACATATCTCTATCTAGACCGGTATTACTTATTAAGGGACATATCTCTATCTAGACCGGTATTACTTATTAAGGGACATATCTAGACCGGTTTTACTTATTAAGGGACATATCTAGACCGGTATTTCTTTTGATCGTTTTGTATGTTCCTTAGACGCCGCTGAGGTTTACGTATAAGTTATTAACGTCATGAGAAGGACGAAACAGCTGTATGATACAGTTTTATCCATTGTTTGGCTGTAAACTTAATCAAATGGTACTATTCACTTGTGTGTCTTTTTTACGATTGATGGGAGTTATATGCCTTTCGCACATATATGACCAAGTGTTAAACAAAGCGTAGCCGAATTGACTACAGTATATTGTTACCATTTGTAATGTTTTGGTCTATAATCTGTTTACCATCTCGTCATAATATTTTCGGCCTTGGTGCACATAGGGTTATAGTGCGGTCGAATAAGATTCAGTACCAACTCGTACAGTCAGTGCTACTACGCTCCACACAGGTCATTTGTCTGAAGACGGTGAACGTGTCGTCATCAAAACGTCACACTCAAATCTTCTACTGGTTGTGTTATAACATGAAGGTGACCGTGTAGTTATTGAGATGTCACTTTCTAATCTTCTACTTGTTGTGTTATAAGATGAAGGTGACCGTGGAGTCACAGAAACGTCACACTCTAATCTTCTACTGGTTGTGCTATATGATGAAGGTGACCGTGTTGTCATCGAAACGCCACACTCTAATATTCTACTGGTTGTGTTATAAGACGAAGGTGACCGTGTTGTCATCGAAACGTCACACTCTAATCTTCTACTGGTTGTGTTATAAGATGAAGGTGACCGTGTTGTCATGGAAACGTAACAGTCTAATCTTCTACTGGTTGTGTTATAAGATGAAGGTAACCGTGTTGTCATGGAAACGTCACACTCTAATATTCTACTGGTTGTGTTATAAGATGAAGGCGACCGTGTAGTCATAAAAACGTCACACTCAAATATTCTACTGGTTGTGTTATAAGATGAAGGTGACCGTGTTGTCATCAAAACATCACATTCTAGTCTTCTACTGGTTGTGTTATAAGATGAAGGCGACCGTGTAGTCATCAAAACGTCACACTCTAGTCTTCTACTGGTTGTGTTATAAGATGAAGGTGACCGTGTAGTCGACAAAACGTCACACTCAAATCTCTACTGGTTGTGTTATAAGAACTATAAGGTGACTGTGTAGTCATCAAAACGTCAAACACTAATCTACTACTGGTTGTGTTATAAGATGAAGGTGTCCATGTAGTCATCAAAACGTCACACTCTAATCTACTACTGGTTGTGTTATAAGATGAAGGTGGCCGTGTAGTCATCAAAACGTCAAACTCTAATCTTCTGCTGGTTGTGCTATAAGATTATGGTGACCGTGTAATCATGGAAACGTCACACTCTAATCTTCTACTGGTTGTGTTAAAAGATGAAGGTGACCGTGATGTCATCGAAACGTCACACTCTAATCTTCTACTGGTTGTGTTATAAGATGAAGGTGACCGTGTTGTCATGGAAACGTAACAGTCTAATCTTCTACTGGTTGTGTTATAAGATGAAGGTAACCGTGTTGTCATGGAAACGTAACAGTCTAATCTTCTACTGGTTGTGTTATAAGATGAAGGCGACCGTGTAGTCATTAAAACGTCACACTCAAATATTCTACTGGTTGTGTTATAAGATGAAGGTGACCGTGTTGTCATCAAAACGTCACACTCTAGTCTTCTACTGGTTGTGTTATAAGATGAAGGTGACCGTGTGGTCGACAAAACGTCACACTCAAATATCTACTGGTTGTGTTATAAGAACTATAAGGTGACTGTGTAGTCATCAGAACGTCAAACTCTAATCTACTACTGGTTGTGTTATAAGATGAAGGTGACCGTGTTGTCATGGAAACGTCACACTCTAATCTTCTACTGGTTGTGTTAAAAGATGAAGGTGACCGTGTTGTCATCGAAACGTCACACTCTAATCTTCTACTGGTTGCGCTATATGATGAAAGTGACCGTGTTGTCATCGAAACGTCACACGCTAATCTTCTACTGGTTGTGTTATAAGATGAAGGCGACCGTGTAGTCATGGAAACGTCACACTCTAGTCTTCTACTGGTTGTGTTATAAGATGAAGGTGACCGTGTTGTCATGGACACGTCACTCTCTAATCGTCTACTGGTTGTGTTATAAGAACAATAAGGTGACCGTGGAGTCATCAAAACGTCACACTCTAATCTACTACTGGTTGTGTTATAAGATGAAGGCGACCGTGTAGTCATTAAAACGTCACACTCTAGTCTTCTACTGGTTGTGTTATAAGATGAAGGTGACCGTGTTGTCATGGAAACGTCACACTCTAATCTTCTACTGGTTGTGTTATAAGATGAAGGTGACCGTGTTGTCATGGAAACGTCACACTCTAATCTTCTACTGGTTGTGTTATAAGATGAAGGTGACCGTGTTGTCATGGAAACGTCACACTCTAATCTTCTACTGGTTGTGTTATAAGAACTTCTATTTTATCGACATTACCAAACAGAAGAAATAAATTTCACTTGTACAACAGTGTTTTATCCACATCCATTTGTATTGTTCACATATGTTTTGACATTTCTCAAATGTAAACTATTCGAAAGAGCCACGTCATATGTGATGTTAGTTGTTTAAGATTGCTAAAATAATCAATAAAATATCAACGTGGCAACAAAATTATAATCTAAACTCAAATTCCATGAAACAAGGGCAAAATATGAACAAAAGAAAGACTTATTCGGAGACTACTGAAAATGTACAAAGAGAATAAGATCAGGTGTTCCGGGAGAGTAAGCGTCTTCTGATTTATCGACGACACCCGCCTTGTAAAGTTAGTACTTAAAGAAGTAGTGCAATATGGTTACAAAACCGAAATAAAATCACAGAAATACCTTACAAAATAACAAAGAATTTTTTTTCCGACGTATCGTTTTAGAGTAATTGGTGTAAATGTAATGCCCGTACGAAAACATACCTTTAAAATAGCAAAATTAGGGAAATCCCCTTTTTCACCGGAAGTGACGTAGTATGAGCAACATAGACGCGCTGGATTCGACTTCACTGTTATCAACAACAAGGTAAACACTGATCGAAATTTGCCGGAATCCGAGTAATTTTCGTTATTCCAAGGTTTAGACGGTAAAGACTATTATTATCAGGATCATTTGGTGAAAAAAGATCCCTTGGATATGGCAAGTTCTCGCCACAAGGGCCGCCGTTGTGTAGTAGCTGGGTGTAGTAACACTGCGGGTGATGGCGTTTCAGTGCACACATTCCCATCGGATAGTCGAACTAGGAATGCATGGAAAAGGTTTGTGAAGCTGACCAGAGCAGACTGGGAAGAGCCTTCGAGGCACAGTGCCATTTGTAGTGCCCATTTCACACCTTCATGTTTCGACGCGCAGTATGACTTGAAGGCGAGCTTAGGATTTAGCACAAAGAGACGTCTCAATATATCCTAAGAGGGATCATGATCAGCTAAACGAAGGTTTTTTATCTTCTCCAGAGAAGAAGCCAAGGGGGGCTTATGCAAAAAGAGAAAGCTCCAGGGTAAGAATGATAAATTATTTTACAATATTAGCATGACATTAGGGAAATCTTTTTTTCTGTAAAAAAGTACATTTACAGGTACTTATAGTAGGGGATCCATCCAATCCCATTTGTACTTA